ATGAAATGCACAGACAGCTCACTGGCAGCACAAACTTGTAAAGATAAGTAACTCTTCTCCAAACTACCTATTCCGAACACATAGATTCTCTGTACAATGAGAAAACTACACACAAACGCTGAACAGCCACAACCCTTTTATTCCCATGTTGCCAACAAGGAGGTGTTGACTACATCGATGTGGAACAACTAGTATTAAAGACAGTAAGACAAGCTGACCTAAATCAACAACCTGTTTACAAATGTTGCACCATAAGCATGTTAAAACTGAGAAGTTATTTTTCACACCTTCACTACCTCGGACATTTTATTTTGCATGACAAAGAATTTGGAACATGAGTTCTGTGGAGTCAGACCTACACAGTAGCTAATAACTTTTATACTACCATCAGCGGAATTATTAATAATAACAGAAATGTTTTTCCCCTTCTCCTTGCAACTATTAGCAGAGTAGCTAACATTTCATTACAGTGTTGTAAATCCCCTTGAAAAGGTACCTAGACTGCAATATTGTCTATTATAAACTAATCTGAGTGTCTCTCAAGCAAATAAAATTTGCAGTTTACTTTCACAGCTAGAAATTAATGATGGCTTTTGATTATTAAGGATAAGGGGTAGCAGAGTCTTCTAATAATCGAGAAATCATGTCTTGGTTTAATTGAGCACTTCAATTTGCACATGTATAAAGTACCAAAGAAATGAAGAGATTTCTCTCATAGTCAAGAGCCAAAAAGTGTCAAGTGTCCACAAGTCTGAGAAAAGAATCTGACTTCTAGATTCAATTGGATACAATAGGGTTTTTTAATTGCTTTGAAATACTCTAGTGTATGTTAGGCTGGAGGTATCAACCAGGCAGTTTTTGGGTCATTGGGTTTATCAGAGTTTATTCTGGGTCTCATAATTGAAATTGTTGGGTTCACTTACTTTTCTACAAAAGTTAAGACCCCTTTGGGGGATTTAAAAAAAAAACCAGCCAACCAACCAAAAAACCCAACAAGTAAATCATTGTCATTGTGGAAGAAAGGAAGATAGCCAAGGGAAAATATGATGAAGTTTCCAGATTCAGCAACAATCTTTTTGTATTTCCTTTTTGAGGACAGGGAAAAAAATTGGCTTGAGGGTACATGATCAAGTTTTAGAGAATGGCAGCAGGAAAGGCTTAGCATATGCAGAGAAAAAGAGGATTATGAAGTTTTATTTGAAAAAATTCAGAACCAAGTATTTTGAGACAGTGATTTTGATTCTGCTAATCAACTAGCAGGCAGGGAGTATTATGGGGGTGGAGTTACAGAAATCCTGATGGGCAGAAAGTACATCAATAAAAAAACAGAAGCTTTAGGAATATTAGAAAGGATAGAAATCAACTAAGTCTTTGGGGAAAAGATGAGTGTCTTCTATTTTTTCTTCTTCTTTTTCATAAACTGGTAAAGATCTTTGAATTCTGTTGACAACACATATGACAGAAAATAGATCAATAGGCTCTGAGGTGGCCCAGCATCAGACAACAATAATGAAAACAAAAAACGACAGCTGTAGCATGGAGGCCAAGAAACCCCCTATGAAGTTATACAAAATCAGGAAGTGGAAACTTTTGATAAAAGGCCTTGGATGTTACCCAAATTTTATCAGATGCAAATTCTGCAGCATCTACAAGACCTGACATCTCCAAGGAAATTAAAGTGATGCTCTAAAAAAACCCCAAGAGCTCTAGAATTCTCCTGCTGTAAAGACTTGTTTGATTTTTTTTTCTTTGGGGGTGGGGAGAGAAAAAAATATGTGATGAGATCCTGTTAATACAACAGCTTTATGAACAACTTTTAAAGATTTCTTTTACTTACGTTGACTCTTCATATTCAACCCATTGGTACATTTCCACATTACGCTTAAGTTTGACAGCCTGGATGGAGAGCCCATAGCTGGGATCAAACAAAGGCTATTTAAAAACAGAAAATACAAGTCAGTATAAAAGCCGTTACCTCACAAACTCAAAAACTGTACTTTTATTATCAAACCCATTTACATACCTCACTGTACATAGTACTATGTCACACACAGTTGAATATAGAATAAATGTTATGAAAGACAAAAAGGAGCATCTCTTTACATCACTAATAAATCTGACCTGAAGAATCATCACCAAAAAATTATTGCCATAGTGAAGAATAAAACCAGAAATGCTGGCTAATGGTATGCAGGCTGAAGTGTTTAAACCAGGGGGAGGTTTTATTTTACTGGAAGCTACTGTGCTGTGTTACCCTCTGCAGTGCAGACTGACCACAGAAAACGACATCGCTACTGAAAAGTCAGAACTTGCAGAGCCTCTGTACTGCAAAAGCCTAAAGACTTTACAGTATCATGAATACACAACAGGATCCCTATACAAAGGGGAATTGAAATTATCCACCAAAGGCAGTGGGAAGGTAAACACAGCTAGAGGTAGCGTGTTGCTTGGGAGTAGGGAGACCAAGGCTGTACAGCATCTCCCCGATTCTGGGCCAAGAACCAAAGCTTGGGTGGTAGCTGGCAATGCTTACAGAGTAGGAAAGAAGCTGTATGTCTTCTCCTTGGATATCAAACATAATTTTAACTGGCAAAGACTCTTCCTTCCCTCCAAGCTCGAAATACTCGCATCTTCAAGACACTATTTTATTTACCTTAGACGTAGTCAGAGCGCCAGCTAAGTGCACCAATCTCCCTTCATTCTGCTGAGACACGCTGTGGATGCTATCAAGAGGGATCACAAGAGAAAGTCCCTCATCAAGAGATTTAGCTGTCCTTAAAGCTCGTCCCTGCAATCAAGAAAAGCAAAATCAAGTTGTGGAGAATCAATGGTACAGCAGTATTTTGTGAAAAATGTTAGCAGAGAAGTGTTCTGAAGACCACAAGGAATGCTTGTATATTCAGCCTCAAGTCATATTCTTGAAACATGCTTGTACTTCTATGCCCTTTTTCTGACTGAGTTTGGGGTAGTACTTCTTATTCATGCAGCACGACCATTAACATTGAATAAGCTCCTCAAACACACATAGATTATTCTTACAAGGGTCTAAAATTATTGCTCTTCATCTCTTACCTTGTTCGTTGTTCATGAATAACTGCAAAAATTGTGCCATTTATGGTCCTTTTTCCATACAACTACATGGCAGAAGCTTTCCTTACCTTACCATCATGTTACAGTGTGTTTTTTCCTGCAAAGTCACCAAAACTGGGAGTAGTTCTCTTTCCTCTTGTAGAGGTATAAAAGGTAGTCTTAGGTGAAAATTCACAGAATTCTGCTCCCCCACTCCAAAACTGCCAAAAGCATGTATGTTTGCAACGGCAGGGTGTTAGGATTCCCTGCTTACTTCAATTATTTTTTCAATCTAAACCCAAGACATAAAATAACACTGAGAATAATTAACACCCTCAATTATGAATTCCTTTAACGCAATTATAACAACACTAGAAGTGAGGATCTTATATTATCCCAAGAAAGAGAGAAGACTGGAATATGGTTGGGTCACATGCCTGTTTCTGCATCAGCTCACAAGTTTTGAATCTTATCTCTCATCACACACTGCCACTGTCTCTATTAAACTCAGTTCTACAGAAATACTATCTGTGGCCTGGTGATTTCACTCTTCTGTTATATCGCAAGCATAAGCACTAGGCTCTCCAGACATAACATCCTCTTCTCATGGATGAAGTAATAAAGCTTTAACACGACCATTTGACTAAGCCTATAAATGCAAAACTAGTGGAATGTCACTTCAGCTGTGACATTTTAAAGCTGTGTGTGAACACTGACAGTATTTTACTTACTTCATTGGTAAAAAGAAGGTAGAAAGACAGAAGAAATGTCACAAGTCCCATCAACATGCCTCCAGAAGTCTCACTGAGCCTCTCCAGGAACCCCGGTTTGGACTCACTTGTGATTTTAACATGTTCTTTTCTGCTGCCAGTGTCAGAGAACTGTTGGAGATAAACAAATAATGCAATATTTGTGTGAAAGGGGAAGGCATTCTGTTTCAAAATCAGTCTTTTAGCTTTAATACTGCTGCTTCACAGAGTAGCACCTCTTGCCTTTGACCAAAACTTTCCCACACTTATTAAATGCCTCATCACACTTTTGATACCAGAAATATGGTCAATAAATAAAACTCAAGCCTGATGGAAAAAACAATTTCTATGATAGTGGTTCAACATGTTCCTTCAAGCTTTCTTCAGTCTGTCTCTAGGTTCCCTATTTGGTGTCCACACCCCGCATTCAGGCCATGACAAATTGAGTAATACTCCCGAATTCCAAGCCAGCTAAAACATAGCTATAAATAACAAGTTACGTTTTACCTCACCAGTGGAAAAGTGCCTGCATACTTTAAAATAATTGCATCTTGGGCAACAAAAAGAGATAGCTAAAAACAAAATTGCTATTGCTGTCCTAGCCAGCGCCACATTAAAGCATAAAAGCCCAGGGGTTTATCTGTAGGTACACTAGCTGCGGGGAACAACGAGGAAGCAGCTTTAGCACACGTAGCCAAGGGAGGAGGCGAGGCTTCTCTTTTTCTCATCCCGAGACGCCAGGCGGGATGTGACAGCGGACCCTCCGCTGCACAGGGCCCCTCGCCTCAGACAGGCCACCCCGGGGGAGCGACCCGGGGAACCGCCACACGCAGCGCAGAGCGACGGCAGGACCGGCCCGAACAGCACTTACATTCCTCGACATCTTGAGCCTCTCGCCCTCGCCAGGTACCACCCCGGAGAGGCCGCAAGAGCCGCGCACCGACAGCCGCCCGCAGCCGCGCCCTCCTCCTCCTCCTCCGGGCTCACCCGGCCCTCCCGCCTCCGAGCCGCTCCCCGCCCGAGGCGCTGCCGCAATGCATGCCGGGACGCGTAGTTCCCGCCTGGGCACTGAAACCCTCCCCGCCGGCCGCGGGGCAGCCTGGGAGTTGTAGTCCAGCGCCGAGGCCGGGCCCGACGGAGCCGGCGGGTCTCTGGCCGCGGTCGGCAGGAGGTGCGTCAGCGGCCGCCGGGCGGGCAGGGAAGGTGCTTCCGGAGGCGGGAGGTCATAGCGTGGAGCGGCGCGCCGCTGCCCGTTGCTGTGGCGGTGGTAGAGGAGGAGCGGAGCGGGCGGCGGGCCGCCGGCGGGGCTAAGTCTGCGCGCGCGCTGCGGGGGAAGGCACCGGACGGCTCCGCCATGTCCTACTGCAGGCAAGAAGGTGCGCCCGGGTGTCCTCCCCAATGTCACGCCGCCGGGACAGGCCGGGCGGGCTCGCCCTGAGGCGGCCGGGGGCCGGGGTGGGAGCGGCGCGGGGCGGCTGCCCGCTCACCTCAGCCCGTCAAGGGAGGCTGCAGCCTGAGGGGAGAAGAGGCGCGAAAGCCGCCCGCGGGCCGCGTGTGGTGGCGGGGG